CAATCTCAGGTGAGATCTGACTTGGTGTATCTAAGATTACAGATACCCAAAACCCAACTGATTGGCAAGAGACAGTTACAATAACACAAGTATAATTTCTAAAATTTGTCATTCATAAGAATTGAACCTTAGACCTGCTACTTGAGAATTGATAACCTATTCACTTTACTAGATCACCATATCACCATAAACATATTATTTAAAAATACTAAGTACCAATAGATAAATAAAAAAATTAATAAGGAAAAGATGTATAATTTGTACTTCTTAAATATTAATCTTGAAAATATCTGCTTTTTCATATGTAACCCTCAACAACAAACCTATTTTATACTACAAGATTAGATACAGTTATATTGTTAACCATGAAACTTGACTATTCAGTTAAAGAGATAGGTTTCAAGATAAACAATAATAATGACCTGCTTGTAAACAAAGTTGTAAGATGGTACATTATTGTAAGTTACTGGACTCTTTATATGACAATAGGTTACTGGACTTGTCTATGACCTGAATTTGAGAATTTAATACTTGAGTAACTAGATGATTTTCTGTTTCTTTGTTTTTGATTTTACTACTTAATATTGTGTCCAGTGGTCCCTCCCTACTGCACCCCTCAAAAAAATAAAATAAAATAATAAAATAAACAAATAATAAAAAATAAAAAAATAAATTAATAATGAAAAATAAAAAATAAATAAATAAAAGAATATAAAATAAAATTATATGATACTAAAAAAAGTCTATCATGTGACATAAATTGGCTTGTTTGACAACCCTGTCCAATACTGTACTACAGAACTAGACACAGTTATATTGTTGACCATGAAATTTGCTCATTCAGTTGAAGAAATATGTTTCATGACGAACAATAATAATTTAAATTAATATGAGTTTAGTGCTAAGGTTAGGAAAAGTAGTTGATATACCAAAATTTTCAAGGAATTTCTTTTGTTAGTGCTCGAGAAATGGTTATGTTGCCGAAATTTTTGATATTACAAATTTTAGAAAAATTTTTTTATTTTGTTAAACAAAAGGAAATTCGTACGTTACACCTGATCTTCAAATAAGCACTCGGAAAATGTGTACCGGGTTTTACTCTTAAACTACGAATCAGATTTTAAGATTAGATGTAATGTAACATGATCATCAGGAAAATTCAAAATATATGTTCGTTATGCAAAAAATCGTCCATCACTCAATAATCAGCATAAGAAACCACCTTTTGTGCTCTAACAAAAAGTTTTTATTGGATAATTTACTACTATAATTAATCTTCTCCGCTCCTAACCCTGACCCTAACACTAACCTTACCAAATTTTAAGAATTTTGTCTGTACCACAAATCCGGTACACATTTTCTGAGTGCCAAATTTAATTTGTTGATCATTAGGATGCAACATACAAGCACATCGCAGGAGTGCAATGCTTAAATAAGTCCAAATTTAAAATTTAAAATTTATTAAAAAATGCCACTTTTGGCCCAAATAGAACACCGTAACCCTGGTTCTAATACAAAGAACATTTAAGTTAACTATTGTGCCGATAGTTCTATAAGCTCTCTCAAAAACCGTAGTAACGGTATGCATGTATCTGATTTTGGTAGAGATATTAGTAAACAAGTTTCAGCCAGTTCTGAAGCTTCTGAAGTTTCGGACCCGGAGCCTTGGGGAAACTAGGTTTCAGAAGTTTTGCCTTGCCAAAAGTTTCGATTTAGGCCGTAACACTAGTTACTACACATGAAAGTATACCTGACAATGTGCAAAAGTCACTTA